TGATTGATACTGGCGATCCGAAAGTGCCGATCCAATTAGAGAAAAACCTCGAAGCCGTTTTCTCCGCCGTGTCTGATTGTCCACATGGAATGAGCTTTGTGAATCCAGACAATCGGCAGGTGCAAGTTAATAACATATCATAGTTATTGGCCTTGGGCAATGGTCCCACGAAATCAATTGCTAGACATTCAAGTGGAAGATTGGGTATTGAAGGTGTCAACATTTTTCCCACTGGAGCTTGTGTCGGTCCTTTTGTCCGTTGGCATACATCACAGGACTGTACAAACTCCTTCACGTCTGATGCCATGCGTGGCCAGAAAAAATCACGCCGAAGATCCGCGATGGTCTTGAGGTAACCTAAATGCCCTAATCGTAAGTGGGTCTCATTTACCAGATCATGTCTTAGATATTTGGTATAAGGAATGTATAGCCTGTTCTCAATGAACAGTAGTCCTTCCACAATCGTACAGTCGTCGCGTAAAGGAAGGACTGAAAGGATTGAGCTATAGAAGGAGTCGGTATGATACCCATCTTGAATACGTTTTCGTACTTGCGGTGATAACGTCGGGCCGGCTTCAATCAGTGCTGCTACGCATTCTATGCCATCTTGCTCCACCTCGTCTTCTTCATTGTCTTTCCTTGACAGCGCATCCGCCACACAATTGTCTTCACCTTTCACATACTTAAACTCTACATCAAAATCAGCTATTGTTTCAATCCACCTCGCTTGTCTTCTACTCAAGGTTCGTTGTTTCAGGAGGTACGTCAAGGAGTGATGGTCGCTCATTATGTTAATCTTCATACCTAACAGCAGCATTCTCCACTTGTGCAGCGCATGTATGACTGCCAATAATTCTTGCTCATGTACCGGATAATTTCGTTCCGCTGGCGTCATTTGTCGTGATTCATATGCGATAGGTGATGCACGTTTCCATTCTTTTCCTTGAAATAACGCCGCCCCGAGGCCATGTCCGCTTGCGTCAGTGAATAACCAAAGAGGGTCGTCGGAATCAAAATCTATATTTTTTAAATAAGGTAATGAAGTCATAAGGCGTTTGATATTAGTGAATGCATTATCTTCAGCTTGTCCCCATTTAAAACTGGCCGGGTCAAGTTTTGTGCTCGTTAACGGTGTTAGTTTGTTGACATGTTTTTCTAGCCCCCAGATGAATTTTTTCATCCACTGGACTGTACCCAGGAATTTCTTGATCCCTTTTGCTGACTTCGGTGTTTTCCAATTCAACACTTGTTCTATTTTTTCATTATCTGCTCTAATACCGTTGGCTGAAATCCAATGTCCTAAAAACTTAATCTCATCTTTAAACAACTTCGTTTTCTTCTTACTGCAATAAAGATTTGCTTCTCGTAACTTCTGAAGCACCATGCGTGTGTGCACCGCATGTTCTTCCGGCGAATTCGAAAAGACCACGATGTCGTCAAGATATACAACACAGATGGAGTTCAATAGTTCACCTAATGCTTCTTCCAATCTCCCTTGATGAGTGCTTGGTGCATTGGTGAGCCCCATCGGCATCACACACCATTCGTAAAGGCCCCATGGTGTCTGTACTGCTGTTAAGGGGATGTCAGCCTCTCTCATTCGAGTTTGAAAGAAGGCGTTGGTGAGATCGATGATTGAAAAAAATTTTCCACAAGCTACCAGCCTGACCAACCTGTCGACATTTGGTAGTGGTGCGCGGTCCCTCACGGTCAGGCTGTTCAAGACACGGTAATCACATACCCATCTCGGAAGTTCGGAAGGGTCCTTCTTCGGTATAATTAAGCTTGGTGACGCGTACTGACTAGTTGATCGTCGGATTCTCCCAGCTGCAAGGTGCTGGTCGACCAGTTTTTTCCACGCATTCATGTGTTTTGGCGGGTAGTTGTACTGCTTTTCGTTGATAATTGCATCGGGGTCTTTTAAAATGATTTTGTGTCGTATTCTTGAGCTTTCATTCTGCAACTTCTCAGGGAAAGATCCGTCTACAAACAATCCTTCCTCCTCTGCTTCATCCGATACCGCTGGTATGTCTGCAGGAAATAAGTCATGAAACTCCTCAAACATCTCCACTTCCAGTCTCTCTTTCTCACTTAAAATCACATGATTCTCTCGCTCACTCAGCTTCTTCTCCCAGCTCGTATCATACTCTCTCCGAGGCTCAGTGATGCGCGGAATCGAAACTTGGTTAAGTCTTTCATTTAATTCTTTTAAAACTCGATAATCAAAGATTTTCATTCCAGTACGTTCACATACAATAGCTCTTTGGTGAATAGAAACAGAAAGTTGAAAAATATTAAAGAATGGCGTCCCCAGTATCATATCAAAATCACCTCCCACATCCCCCAGCTTGCAATATGTCCGATCAAAGCTTTTACCCGAAGTAGGTTCCAGCAAATCGAACGTGGTAAAGTGAGTTAGGGATGGTGCCGGTGAGTCGGTGTTGACGGCTAGGCTAAGCTGTGTAGGTCGCACTAATTTTCGCTTTCGCAGCTTAAAACGCTCGACCGCCTGTTCTGTAATTAGGTTGACCTCAGCACCAGGGTCAGCCAGGGCTTTCAATTTCATGCCACGATATTCGAATTCAATGATAACGCGCGGGGGTTTTGGAGATTCAAAGCACCCTTCTTCTTCTGCCAGGTCGAGTTCCTCATCTAACGCTTGTAGTGCAGCAACCGAGGCCTCGTCCAATTCTGGAAACTCTGAAGCTGCCGCTGCTCGAGCATAAGAAGGTCCTGGTCGTCCTGCCGGGGGCTGAGTAGCTCGTCCCGCTGAGGACTGACTAGATAAAGGAGAGGATCGTGCTCGAGGAGGGACATAGTTGGCTGGTTTCGGTGGCGCTACGTAGCCTGGAGGAAATCGAACCTTCTCTCTGACATACGGACCTTTACATGCCCTGTACTCACTGCCGCAGTATCCTTTGCAGAAATGACACTGCCCAATCGAGTCGCGGTAAGAATGAATCTTCCAGTTGAACTCTTCATCACTTAATCGAACTGAAGTACTAGGATTGGCGATTCTGGAGCGATTTTGCGACGTATTTTGAATGTACGACGGTGCAGTGGGTCTAGTCCTCTTGATGATAGCGTGAGAGGCAACCAAGGAAGCATATAAGGTTTCACACTGATTTTCGAAGGTGGAATAAGTGAAGTCCTTGGTCTGTCTTGAGAACCCCCAGAGTTTAACAGCGGTCTTTAGTTCTTCAACCATTCCATATTCTACAAAGGTCGCTAATTGATGATCGTTTATGGTGATCGTGTGGAAGTTAATTAAGATCTGAATTCCACGAGCTCTGGAACTATAAGTGATAAAGTCCTCGTACGGCGACATCTTCAGATGTTGGGCTTTTTCAAAGAGCCGACTGTTCCAATCGCTGGGTAGGCAGGAATCAAAAAGTTGAACGAGAAATTCTTTCCAGGTACCTTTGATAAAGCGATCAAAACCGCCTTCATAGAAAGCGTGGGCGTTCGGTTCCTCAAGAAAATTCCCAACTAGCGTGATTCTATCTTTATCCAATATGACACCTTTGGTGCGGAAGAACGTCTTCAGAGACGAGTACCATAAAAGAAATGGTTCTGATTCTCGGTAAGGCCCTTTGTATACGGGTCCGTCTGATGTTCGGAATTTCGTGAGATCAATTCCTCCGTCAGACTTAGATTCCTCTGGCATAGAAGTCGACTGAGATGAATCCTTTGGGATAAGTAACTTCGTCATGAGGTCCTCGAATTTCTCCATTCGGCGATTACTAGCAATTTGAGATTCGACGATCGCCTTCATAAGGTCCGAGTCCGCGTTGCTCGACGTGGTTTGTTGTTCTGGCATCTTTGGAAAAGGTGTACTGGACGTGTTCTTGCGCGTAGGAGATGGCGGTAAGGATGAAAGCGGGGAAGACTCGTCGGATTCTGGCAAGGGTGGTAGGTTGTGACGATCGACACGAGCTTGGACTGGTGTAACTGGCGGTACGAAATCTGTACGACTTCTCGATGGCGTAACTGGCGGTGCGCTTTGCGCTGTGGCTTGTCTGGCGGTGCTGGCGTCTAGTTTAGAGAGTCGTATTTCGCGACGATTAGCTCGGATGATAGCTTCGGGGTCTGGCAAGGGTACTGGCGGGCCTTTCTGAGTAGGTTGAGATGATTGTTGTCTACTCATGCACGCCGATCGTTGTGGGGTAGTGGTGAGAGAATTGAGAAAGTAACGTCCACGATGTATATTAAGTCAATACAGTCGTGGCGCATTTAAAGTTGAAGTGTTGAAAAAGGTATGAATGAATAGAGGGGTGTTTTGGGTTTTGATTGAATTGATCGATTTCAGTTAAAGTTTTTTCAATTGAGTCGATCGAACTTTTTGATCTCGGTATGGGTTTGAGAAAAAAAAAGTGTAAGGTTCGTGTTTGAACCTTCACTAGACACTTCGGACGGGACGCTGTGAGGCACAGCAGGGGTTTCTAGAACCCAAGAGATCTGATTTTAATTACTAAACCAACGAGAACACAACCTGGTTCCGAAGGATAGAGGGCGGTAATCAGTCCCGATATCTCTCTCTACGGACTACACGACTGATAATGAAAGAAAAGAGATAAATGAGAAATGGCCATACCTGGTTCCGAAGGATAGAGGGCGGTAATCAGTCCCGATATCTCTAAGGAACCAGTCATCGGATGGAATGACAAACAACTATATAAATGAAATAAGCTTAAGTCTAAGTATTAATATTTAGATGTATGTAATGTGATTGTGTAATGACCACAGGTCTTACAGATACCCCCCAATACCCTCACACTCAATGAAACAAAAGTCAATTCAACAAATGTGCACCCGCTACATCACATAATCTGAGCGAATCAAATCGGCTACTCACCCCAAGTGATCATAACCCTTGGCCAACTCCACCACCACCAACTCATGATAGTATCCAAGCTTCTCACGATGATATCAAGGCCACCTCAATCTCTGTTGATTCACTGGCGTCAACCATGTCTAAGTTCACTGACCGACTCCGCAGCATGACACCACTTCGTCGCCAGGAAGCCCTAATGAAGATTTCAGCTATCTTCGATGAAGAGGCCACCCCTCCTATCTCACTTATGCCGGCCCCTGACCCCGTAAGTGTAAGCTAGTCGCAAGTCATGATTGGCAAATATGCTGAGGGTTATTCTCATTCTCACATAGCTTGAACTTCACACATTCATGAGGAATATTGAGCACTCCCCTCCCAAAGCACAAGACGTCACGGATGCTCAACAAGAGCGTACAGTAGACTCAGTAAGCATATTATTCTATCTTTACTCAACCGAAACCATGTTCTCTTTCTGGTACTTACGAATCGTATGTACTTTACAGATCGATAGCTTCATGGAGGGATTATATAATTGCTCTCCTGATGACACCAACTCGACATTCAATCTGGAAGACCTAATCGTCAGTCAACCCACCATACCAGCGGCATCACCTATGCAGCAGGATAACACTTCTATGGCCTCTCCACCACAGTTGCACTTTACACCCCCGATCCAAAACATTCCTTCACCACCACTTCTATCAGCTGAAACCTCGCTACCCCCACCTCAACCACCACTTCTATCACCTGCAACCCCGCTACCGCCACCTCAACCAACTCCAATGGTCACTCGCAAACGTGCCCGAGAGTCGAAGAAGCAAACAGAAAATCAAAAAACTCTGCCCGTACTTATGGCAAAATACAGTTTACACTCATGGCTGGAACGTTATGTGATCGAAGTGCGAGAAGTGGAAGGTGATGGCCACTGTGGATTCCGCGCCATCGCAGTTTCTATCGGTCGACACCAGGACTATTGGCATCAAATCTGCCAAATGATGCAGGATACAATCAAAAGCATACCAGATTCATTAGAGTGTACCTTACCCAAGACACGCGCCTGATGCCTTGCTTGACTAGACACAAAGAAAGCAAATGTTGTAGCTCAGCAGAAATATTGGCTCAGCATGCCCAGCTGGGGCGGCGTGATAGCTACAACCTTCGATCGGCCAGTCATATAATACGAACCTGGTCATTCTAGTCAGATGTATCTCCCCTACCTCACCCCCCCAAACGCGAACCCTCCAATTGTACTTGCCTGGGCAAATCTCCACTTCTGTTCCTTATTGCTAGACTTCACCCTACCTAACTTCCCTGCCCCACGGCTTTGCCCATCATGGCGGTGTTTCAAAGAAGAAGAAGCCTCAAGCTGGTCGGCCGCTTGGGAGCCGCTCATTCAAGCTCACGCTGCGGACCTCAAGACTTGCAATAAAAACCGACGCAAGAAGACTGCTCCACCACCTGTGAACTTGACCTCAGATTGACAGCTTAAAATGCGGCAATATGTCCAGTTCTCACAATAACGTTCGATACCATAACAAAACAGGTGACTGAGTTCAATTCATTACACAATACCTTCTGTAAGCCTTGCATTTAACTCCTTACCAATTTGTTACATTGTGCTGTCTCCATTGTTTTACAAGAAACTTTATTATAAAAGAAGTTTATGATTGTACAAGAAGTACAGTATTGTGACATTACTTTTATAATATCTTCTAACTGGTGGTTTATCCTGATTTTCATTAAATTGTTCATTTCTTTGCTCTACATGAAATGCATCAACCTTCAAGAGACATGACAGAAAACAAGCCAAGCAGTTGGCGGACATTTAGTCAATCATACTTCTCCGTTTAAGAAGAAAAGAAGACCGGCAGTTCTTATCTTACCAAATTGGCCTAACAGGCTAACAAAATGTCGTCAGAAGGACGTCAGAAACAAGCAACCATGTTACATGTGTTGTAACCATTGTGATCTCACGTGTATACTACATAACTGACTATGTACACAGAGTACAGTTGCCACGTGTCCGTTCGTTTGGCTCTACACAAGTTGATTTGAACTCCCCAAACTTGGCGCGTGCTTCCTCTTCACCGACTCTCATGCATCGTTCAGTAAGTTCTTCTGTTCACTATCTCTAATTTGTGTATAACCATAGAGACTAATCTTTCAACTGTTTCTGTTGAAATATAATCTCACTAGCCTGATTTTACAGTCGCTCGATCGGTCACTGGAAGAACCAACCAAGGCGTCTTGTGTTGAACAATCAAAAATCAAGTAAAGTAAGTTCTTCATATATCTTATCAAGGAAGGCAACCCTTTCGTTCAGTACTATACCATCCGGATGGTATGATAAGCAGCCGATTAGCCAGGGAGCACGCGACCAAGTTTGTCGGTGACGTGGATGGATACGCTTCTGCAGAGCTTGAAGTCCACCCACCTTTGAACTTGGTCGTCCATCACCTGGCTGGTATGGTACTGCTTTCATTCTCATCTTGATTAACCATTAACCCATTAACCAGAACCATTATTTTTGATCGATACTGGTTCAAATCGCATAGACCCATACGGCTGCAGACTAACTTCCTACATACATATCTGATCTTCCAGCATGTCATCACGAGGCCAAATGTCCACGGATATGGATACTGGATGGGCCACGCGTAGGCGGGACAAATTTCCCATCTCGGGTGAAACGTATGTTATATTTCAATATAATTTGATACAAACTGACTGAAATACCAAGTTTCCCGATATGGCATACAGCAACGACACCTCCTTGCCAGGTGTAACATTCATATCCGACCTTCTGAAAGGTATAGACGTCAAAAGACAAACCAGTTTTACCGATGAGGATGTGAGTTTCAGAACATTCCACTCCATGCAGGCGCAATATCGGCTCTTTTGACTCACACTTGCATCATTCTTCATCATACCATCAGCTGCCTCAGCCATTCCGAACCCCCAAATCCTATGCACACGTGCCTCATGAGTATCTTGCACCGGATGGCTTCCCTAAGTCAGAGCAGTGGCTGAATCCTGCTTGCAGATTCGCCATTCTAGGGAAAACTGAAGGTACAGGAAGAGGAAGACTAGTGTAAGTACCGACTGATTTATCTACTCATAATGGTTATATGTATATATTACTGATATGTCTTTCGCATGTGCCATGCCTTCAGTCAAAGAGCTCTGAACTTTTATCGAGAACAAGGGTACGAGGGCGTACCAGATCCTATATTGCAAACCGAGAGAACATCGGTCAAAGGCAAACCGTGAGTAATAGCATGTCATGTCATGTCATGTCATGTTAAGGTTGCAAAGTCCGACTGTTAACACGTTGATGTTTTTACAGGAGACATGCTGAACGCGCTCGCAAGCGCACAGACAAACGGGAGAAAGACCAGTCGGCCAACTCACTTAACCGCCAGGACAAAACCTTTGATCGCTCCTTTGCTCGATTCGATGATCCAATTCTACCTTTTGAAAATTATGATCGCTCTATGGAAATTGTATTCAATTGCTATACCATAGTCACCCATGGTCGGGGACAATTTGTGGACTGAGGCTCTAAGAAACTAATATGTACCTTCGATTTTGACGACTTCGATTCTATGACTTCAAACAAACGCGACCTGCATCAAAAGTATGTAGACACTATATTGATGGCGACGAAGCTCTTCAATAGGCTACCGCTACCGAAGAAGTCCCCCCCTTCGGTCTTCACCTCTGAGGGACCCAATGAAGGTAGCCACCCCATTACGTCCTCTCTGACCGAAAAAAACTGTCCGGGGACTTCAGCCTTGCATCAATCCGGCGATTCTTCTCCTCTCTCTTCCCTCCCTGGTTCTGATACGGAGGATATGGATATCTCTAAGAGTTTCAACCGGTCTCGCCCTGACATAAGCACTCAATTGGCCTGGGCATGCGATGCATTGAGCAAAGATGAACCTACTGATTATGGTATATCAAGGCCATCATCCCCTTTATCCTCGCTGGCGGAGTCTTTTTTGGCGCAAATGCAAATCTGTGTGCCATCATCACCTCTGTCTTCACCGCCGAATTCGGTGTCGGCTTACATGGAAGTATCTGATGACGAAATTGCTCGACCGGATGACCTGCGGTTCATGTTGTCATACCCTTCTCCGGTATCTTCACCTCTATCTTCGCTTCTTTCATCACCACTATCCTCTCTTCCTGCTTCGGATACGGACGATCTAGACGATATGGAGGTTATGGAGGAGCCAAAGCAAGAAGCAACTAAGATAACTGTGCAAAAGCGTAATGGGAAGCCAACGACCAATGGGGCTCTGATCAATGGCAAGATGTATTGTTTTGGCCAAACGGTTGGCTATTCCAGCGATATTCTGATTTCACCATACATACCCATCCAAGGTTCTTCTCGATTGCTATACAAGAAGTTTCTTGCCAACCTCCCTGACTTCGGCGCGCGAATTGGTTCAAGATATCAAGATTTTTGTGACCAAGGTTTCATCATCGCACGCGACGCACTCAACAGACTTCACGCACCATCCATGACTTCGACCTCTAAGTATCAACCTTCCGGTCCTCATGACTTCGCATCAAATATGGCATTTACTCTTCTGAATTTCTACAACAAGCCACATACTGACAACGATAAGGGCAAAGTACACTGTCTGTGGTACCCTATCGACAGTGAGAGTGGCAAGATTGTTACTGATGTGGAAGGATTTGCACTTGAGGGTGGCTGGCTGATATTCCCCGAATTCCGATTCGCCTTCAACTTTGGCGCCAAATCTGCGGTTCAGATTTCTTGGGACAGTAAAAGAACTTTTCATCATACTCTTCCCTCAAAGGAAAAAGACGATCTGAATAAAGATGGCAAAAAAGTCCATTACACCCGTCTCGGGTGCTCCTCGCAGATTACTCAAAGAATGGCGCGTGCCAGTGCGAAACTAGGTACCAATGCCCAATACAATTATAAGTCCAACTGCGAGCGTCATTTGAGGGACTGTGACGACATTTTGGCACTTGATGGGCGCAAATGGTCCAAGTAATGTAGTAACGTGGTGAGTACATTTCTTGGCAATTAACTGGGGATGGTTAATGGCACTGGACTGATTGAATACATATTTGCTGTCAATGGTTGGCGGTCACAAGCCAAATGAGGGTTATGGGTTATGAGCTGGCCAAATTGTTAATTTGAACAAATAACAAACTTGAGGAAACATACTGTTTGTAATGGGTGAGATAGAATACTTTCGATGTGCGGAAACAGACCAAGCAAATCTATAGCATAATCACACTGCACAGGAAGCAAGAGACAATTTTCCCGCGGGAAGACCGATTACACATAATGTAGTTTCTGAGCCATAGTGTACAAATAACACAGATATAACACCAAAATAATACATTTTGGCCCATTAACTGAGTCAGATACAATTGGTTTTCCCGCGGGAAAATTGTCCCTTGTTTCCTGTGCTGTGAAATGCCAATTCCCCCTTCACCTGCGCAATCAATTAAGTATTAGAAATTGCCATAATGTTATGCCAATAATAAAGTATGGCTGGAAACCGTCATCCAAATTGCTTGCTATCTTAAATACAAAGTAACTTCCTTAATAACTTGAAAATTGTCCAATACGATTGCTTGATTTTGGAAAAGAACTAGGCAGCATAAGATTGCACAATGTTCGAGTGAATGGTGATCAAGTAAGAGCAGGAGTACCCGACTTTGTTTCTTGCCCAGATTGATTTACCAAATCAATTTTCCTGAGTTAGCGTTCCCTGATTTCCATGTTATGAGAGGCCAGTCATGACAGACATGAATGGCGCACGCAAGAAGATAATCTTATCATCTGTCATATCAAAGTTGAAAAGTGGTATCAATGTACAATTACACATTCTCAATCAGGCCTTTTAGATATTGCAATTGGCCCAATCTTGTGGGTCCAGCTTGGGCCAATTGAAATGAAATTACTTGGTTGTGTATTTTATCCTGGGCCCTCCTGCTTTACCTCAACTATACTTTACCTCAACTAAATGCCATTGCAATAAGTGGGAGGTGACATTTTTACAAATGAATAATCACCATTATTGAAACTCATTTTGATTAATGTTAATTTGATGATTGTTTAGGAATATGTACAAATATACTACTTTTTGAGGATACCTCTTGACAAAGTAGGACTTTGACAAGAAGTTCAAATAGTAAAATTTTGGCCAAGTTGTGCGTAAACAGGCGCCAACCAACAGACAGCAACCAAGTCATGGAGTGTTGTGCCACTCCAAGACTTGGTTGAAGTTGTGTCTTGTCCTAAACAATGCTGAAAATATCATTTGCAACACTAATGGTATTTTCAGCATTGTTTAGGACATACGTAAAAATTTATGGTGGCATAATGACCCAAAATGAACATGTTCAACATGTGCATTTTGGGGGCCACCCAAGTCTTGGACTGTTGTGCCACTCCAAGACTGGGTTGATGGTGTGTCTAGGGCTAAACAATGCTGACAAAATCATTGGCAACACCCAGAACAGCCATATCATCCAGGTGTAAAAAGTTATGGTGGAATAGTTTGACAATATAGGCATGTTTGGCTATATGTGCGTAAACACGCACCATCCAAGTCATGGAGTGTTGTGCCACTCCATGACTTGGATGATGGTTTGTATTGGCGTAAACAATGGTGAAAAAAGCATTGGAAAAACTCAGAACAGCCCTATCAACCTGGCGTAATTAGTTATGGTGGAATAATACCCCAATATGGGCTTCTTTGGCTATATTGCGTTGTCATGCATGAAACAAGTCATGGAGTGTTGTGCCACTCCAAGACTTGGTTGATGGTTTGTCTTGGCCTGAACAATGCTTTTACAAAATCATTTGCAAAAGTTAGAACCGCCATATCACCCAGGCGTAAAAAGTTATGTTGCAATAATACCCCAATATGGGCATGTTCAACATGTGCGTAACCAGGCGCCACCCAAGTCATGGAGTGATGTGCCACTCAAAGGCGTGGTTGATGGTTTGTCTTGGCCTGAAAAAATCTGACAAAATCATTTGCAAAACTTAGAACAGCCCTATCAACCTGGCGTAAAAAGTTATGGTGGAATAATACCCCAATATGGGCATGTTTGGCTATATGTGCGTTGTCACGCACGAAACAAGTCATGGAGTGTTGTGCCACTCCAAGACTTGGTTGATGGTTTGTCTTGGCCTGAACAATGCTGACAACATCATTTGCAAAACTTAGAACCGCCATATCAACCAGGCGTAAAAAGTTATGTTGGAATAATACCCCAATATGGGCATGTTCAACATGTGCGTAACCAGGCGCCACCCAAGTCATGGAGTGATGTGCCACTCCAAGGCGTGGTTGATGGTTTGTCTTGGCCTGAAAAAAGCTGACAAAATCATTTGCAAAACTTAGAACAGCCATATCAACCTGGCGTAAAAAGTTATGGTGGAATAATACCCCAATATGGGCATGTTTGGCTATATGTGCGTTGTCACGCACGAAACAAGTCATGGAGTGTTGTGCCACTCCAAGACTTGGTTGATGGTTTGTCTTGGCCTGAACAATGCTGACAAAATCATTTGCAAAACTTAGAACCGCCAAATCAACCAGGCGTAAAAAGTTATGTTGGAATAATACCCCAATATGGGCATGTTCAACATGTGCGTAACCAGGCGCCACCCAAGTCATGGAGTGTTGTGCCACTCCAAGGCGTGGTTGATGGTTTGTCTTGGAGTGGCACAAGCTGACAAAATCATTTGCAAAACTTAGAACAGACATATCAGCCAGGCTTAAAAAGTTATGGTGGAATAGTTTAACAATATTTGCGACTTCCCACCAAAGGAACGACATGTTAAGGTATTTCTATTGTTACTAGAAGGGTAAGAGATAGACTAGGTGCACATGTAATAATACATACACAACGAAGTTGGGTCGAGTGAGATACAGGAAAGAGAGGAAAATTTTCCTGCCTCTCTACACTTATCTCTCTCTGCACCTCAGTCGTGAAAGCGGAGCATTCAAGCTCTTCAAGTAGCTAAACATTCAATTCTAGATTATTTTTAGCAGCAAGAATTGAAAGATTATTGAAATCAAGTAATAGTTCACATCAACACGGCAAAAGAATTCAAGGACACGACACATAAATCCCCGAATATTGAAGTCGTAGAGAAACCTTATCTCAAAACTTAATCTTATTGAATTAAACCTTAAACTCCACAAACCGAATTTAGAACACCTTATCAACACCGCTCTTGTATAATCTATATTCAACACAATGGATAGTGAATCCTTTCATCAACAAATTGACGGAACGTTAAGGAATGAACAAGAGGATGGAAAAGGGAAAGGTGTAGAGAACCGGGAGGAGGATCAGATAGAAGGTACGAGTGGAGCAAGAGAGGAAAAGGTAGAAGAAGAAGGCGGTGATGATATTCTGGAAGGCGGAAATCACGGACAAGATGAAGGGAAGGACACGACTAACGTCAACGACCAACAGCAAGAACAACCGACTACTCGCCAGTCTACACGAAGCAAAGCCCCCCCAAAACCGTTTCCACCTCCAGCACCCCCAACAGTTAGCAAAGCGAAAACTATTGCACCAATCAGGATCAAGAGATTAAAGCAAGCGGAGAAGATAGTGCAAGATCAACCTACAGACTCTAGTCAGAAGAAAAGGAAGACCGGACCAACAAACCAACCCAACCAACAGGCCTTCGACAACCCACCAGCCCCACCAGTCAAATCGAATCAACAACCTGTCGGACAAATCATCAATGAACTGTCAGAAGAGGAATCGGAAGACGAGGATGTACAACGTAGAGGTCTATGGGAGGGTACAAACAGAGAAGAGAACCGCCAAATGATTAGGACGGTTGGCGGAATAGTCCTAGGAGAAGCTGATGAAGGTTAGTGATCGTCCCCAGTCTCTATGACTTTGTCCAACCCCCCCCCAATCTGGACTACACAAATCCACGGGAACCCAATGAGAATCGAGTCTCTAAACGGGGATACCAAACTCCTTCCTTAGGGAAATGCCTCCAAAGGAGATGACATAACCCAATGCACAACGCAAAACAGGGAAAGGGAGACTTCGGTCAGAGATAATTCATACCCAAAAAAAAAAAAAAAAAAAGAAAAGAATAAGACGGGAAAAGAGAACAGGCACTAACCTGAATGTCATTGAACAAACTCTCTAGTCGAAGCAGTCGAAAGAGACCAAAGCAAAGCCGATAACCCAACGGTTGACAGTGTAACCCAACGGCTCGAAGAACAAATCACTGCTGCGTTCGAGAGACACGATAGAGTCGCTTACAACAAATTCACCGAAGAGAAGAGAGCTTGGATTGAATTCAAATCTAAGGACAAACCTACCGCAACGACTGAACCAGTCGAGAAAACAGCTAAGCCAACAGCTGAACGGAAGATAATGAAGGTGCAAAAAGGTGAAATGATAAATAATCACCTGAATGCCCTCTCACCTTACTGGGACGCAGCCATGAAAGAGTTCCATCGATACATTCCTCTCTCGATCTTCGACCCCGCTTGGCTACGACAAGATGTAGCCTTCATCTCCAATAAGTCGTCCCGTACGAAGACGAAAGACGCAGACTCCACTGCGTATAACGGCTATCCGATCCCTAGCGAGTGGAGGACTACGGTCGCTCAGTGGCATAGGCAGAAGGACCTATTCCTCCAATATCTGGCAAGATATAAACAAACAGAAGTCTTGCCGGTTATGAAGGCACACTTCAAAAATGTCCTTGATATCCAAAACGAGAATGATGGTTGTTGGGTAGTAGCGTATCACTACAACATGATGATGAGACAGTCTTATCTCGTATTCAAAGTCGGCGAAGACGGTACTGCAATGGCGGATATTAGTGTTCGCAACCCAGCAATCCAACGAATCGCCGAACAAGACACGATTCGTTATAACGACGACATGTTCCTTGATAATCCTTATGCCTTAACGGGGACCAAATGTTTCATCGATCCTCTAGATGGGTCCAACTGGGAAGGCAGACAAACCAGGTGGGATGACCCAAGTCGAACAGATCTTAAAGACGATAAATTAGAACCCACACGTTCTACACAATCAGTGAGATCTTCAATGTGGTCGCAGAACAGACACAACTCACACGACAACGGGCAACGTACGACCCCCCAAGCTTATCACCACTACAACCAACCAGTGCCAAATAATCACCAACCATACGCACAAAACAACCAACCCTACTCCCAACAAAACTCAAATGATAACGGAAGCTTTAGAATCAATCCGAACTTTAGAGGGAAGAAAGAGAATTATATCGTTAACTTTAGGAAAGAGAATAATAGAGGAGGCAGAGGCGGAATGAAAAGAGGAGGCGCGAATGGGAACGGTGGTTGGAATAGACAACAAGGAGATGGTGAAAGTAACCAAAGTGGTTCGAGCTCCCGAGTGAACAGAACGAACACAACAGGTGATGCAGCCCAAAAGAAGTGAGTAGACATACCTAAGACTATGTTGTGATGAGGCGTGAAAAGATGCAATGAAAAGAATGTTTGAGAAGACAAGACTGTCTAAGAGAGAGAGAGAAACAAAACTGACCACATGCCTCCCCTTGCCATGCAAGAACTTGCCCAATTGTAGACCAAGTCGTTGAGAAGCATGAATTGACAAACAGCCCAAACCCAGAACTCAGAGCGAGATGGCCAACGAAGGCAGAATGTGAATTGAATATCGCGGAGTGGGAGGAGCTAATGAAAGAGCTCAATCTGGTGGACGAATGGGGTGATGTTCTGGTCAGCCTAAGAGAAGGCTTTGACCAAGGAATCCCGGAGCATTCTATCGAAGGGCTCTCCTGGTATACACCGCCAAATCAAACGTCAGCACTATTAGTCAGAGACAAAATTGAGAAAACGATAGAAAAAGAGAAGGCAGAAGGGAAGCTGTACGGACCCTTTACACACCAAGAAGTGTATGACCACTTCGGTTTCTTCCGCTCAAGCCCTATGGGCAGCGTCACGAATAATGATGGGACGCTCCGGATGATAAATAACCTATCATATCCAAAGAATGACGAAGACATTCCGGTGAGTAAACCAAAAGACGGAATAGAAGAGAGGAAACAAAAGACTGACCTATTGCCAACAGTCCGTGAATTCCTTCGTAGATAAGAATGAATTCGTGACGACATGGGATGACTTTAAGATACTAGCCGAATTTCTGAGGAAATCTGATAGGAAATGGCAGTTAGCACTATTTGACTGGCTAAAGGCATACCGACAGATTCCAACTCACCCATCGCAGTGGAGATACCTCCTAATATTGGACTTCTACAATCGCTTGTGGGTAGACACAAGGGTAGGGTTTGGAGGAGTGGCCGGATGCGGAACCTTTGGTAGAGCAGCGGACGTATGGAAGGAAATAATGCAACGAGCACTTGGAATTCCCAGAATCTTCCGATAGGTCAATGATAATCTTCTCCTGAGAGAAGTAGATTCAAATGTAACGATGGAATCAGTACTCCTCTTAAGCGCGGGAATGGGGGTGAAATCGAACCTCACCAAGTACTCCGACTTTGCCGCCGAACAGAAATATCTCGGGTTCATTTGGAACGGGATTGAGAAAACTGTTAGACTTCCGATAGAGAAACTCGAAATGAGGATACAACAAGTTCAAGCCTTGCTCAACGGAGAGAGATGGAAAAAGAAACCAATAGAGCAACTGGTAGGACAATTGTGTCACATAACTTATATAATGCCGGACATGAAGTGTTATATGAAAGAACTTCACGGATGGAAAGGCACCTGGAGAAATAGCGAGGCAAGGAGAGGGATACCAGACTCAGTAAGAGAAGACTTAGAAGAATGGTTCGAAGTACTCACGAATTTCGACCACATGAGAATCATACCGAACTTAGACCCTGAAGATGTGAAGTGGGTCGGCGATGCATCGACGTCCTATGGCATCGGAGTATTGATAGGGTCCAACTGGGCTCGATTCAAAGTGTTGCCAGGCTGGGATGAGGTGAACGAAGACCAAGTGAAACGTAAAATCACATGGATTGAAACGGTAGCCGTACGGCTAGGTCTCCTAGTCCTGATGAAACTGATGGAAACAGAAGGCCGATGTTTCATAGTGTGGACGGATAACACAACTACGGAAGCAGCGATTAGAAACACGAGATCCAAGGATCGGGCAGTCAATAACGAGTGGAAGCAGATTCAAAAATTGTTGACCACTCACCAATGTTCAATTAAACAAGAAAGAGTAACATCCGCAGACAACGACGCCAACGCACTCTTGAGAGGACTCGAAACCAACTTACCTATACTGGACGAAGTCAAAATCACAATACCAACAGACCTTTCCAAATTCCTGAGACAAGAATGACGGATCGAATCGACCAAAAGAAAGAAATCAATCTAAAGAAGATTCACAATTTCCTATGCAACGAAAACGGAATGGTGAAATTGAATGAGAACCCGGTGCAACGGCTGATGATACTAGGAGGTAGCTGGTCGAAAGATACATTGATACAATATAATTCAGCAATTACCAAATACCTGACGTTTGGAAGAGCAAATGGGAATGAAAGAAACCAACTCCTACCGGCGAAAGATATTCAAATCTTACAATTTATCCAGTGGGCGGCACCGAAGGTAGAAGGTGAAGAGAAATCCAATCACGAGATAAAACCGTCGACGATCGAAGCTTACATATCAGGTCTAAGAGCGTGGCACCTCTTTCACCACCTCAAGTTCCCGGATATAGAACCGAAGGAGATGAACCTGGTACTGAAAGCAGCAAAATTACTCGACGCTAAAGCCACGGCCAAACCCCAGAAACGACCAGTCCAGATCAAACACCTGGCAAGCCTTGTGAGGAACCTAGAGAGGAATGATGAAGCAACAGAGTTGTCAGTGACAATTGCATTAGTAGCCTTTTGGGGCATGGCAAGAATGGGCGAACTCACAACCTTACGAGAATCAAGACAGATCTTAATTGAAGATGTGAAGATATCACCGGATGAGCAAGTCATGTCAATCGCCCTAAGAGAAGCGAAAACAGCAAAGCCCGGGGAAGTACAATTCTTGACACTACGACGACACAAATCAGTCATCTGCCCAGTCAGCGCGGTCGAACGGCTACTAAAGAGACATCGCGATAACGGATCGTACGCAGAAGACACCCTGTTTACCTATGGTCAAAAAGACGGGAATGGAGGAGTCAGGTTAACCAAAGAAGGGGTCATGACGTTGCTGAAGAAATTATGGACCAAGGACGGGTTCAAAAGGCTCACCGGACACTCCTTCAGAGTGGGCGGTGCCTCTTTCCTGTGGAATGAGGGGGCACCTTTGAACCAGATTATAACGAGGGGTAGATGGAAATTGAGAGCTTATGAAAGATACTTGAGGAAATTCGATGATGATGAAATCGAAGAAAGTAGGAGATGGCTAAGAAGAATGGAACTCAAATAAGAGTAGTAGATGACGCACCATACTGTACTTAGAAAGAGAATTGAGAAATATGTATACAGCATGAACCTTAGAAGCCAGTTGAACAAGAGAGAACTAAGAGAACATTCTAAGTTTACCCAGAAATATACAACCATTTGAATTATACAGAAGGGGGATCTGCAGGCTCAAAGCCGAGCAGAAGCCTTGAGACACCTGAGAGGATAGGCCTAGTGAGCTTGGGGCTCTCCGATGCCCCAAGGCAAGGTAGGCTAGGACATATCTCTCCGGTACCATGTTTCAGGCACTTTACGTAGTTTAGAACACGGAAAGGACCACAGATCAGACCACGTAGGGCCTCAGAAGTAGGCCCCGAGGTGATCACGGTACCCTTCCGCGCTCGAAGACGCCCCCCCCACACTATTCTCAACTTAGGGAATCCTAGGTTAGGATAGCATAAGGCTGAGAAATGATATGGATAGTAAATACTTGTATACTAAACATATCAGAAATGAAGAGATTGTTCACCTAACCCTTACCCTCAGAGTAGAGATAGAAGGCATGTTTGGCTATATGTGCATAAACACGCACCAACCAAGTCATGGAGTGTTGTGCCACTCCAAAACTTGGTTGATGGTTTGTCTTGGCCTGAAAAATGCTGACAAAATCATTTGCAAAACTTAGAACCGCCATATCAACCAGGCGTAAAAAGTTATGGTGGAATAAGACCCCAATATTATTATGTTCAACATGTGCATAACCAGGCGCCACCCAAGTCATGGAGTGTTGTGCCACTCCAAGACTTGGTTTATGGTTTGTCTTGGCCTAAACAATGCTGAAAAAACCATTTTTCAGCTTTCCAAACAGCCATATCAACCAGGCGTAAAAAGATATGGTGGAATAGTACACCAATATGGGCATGTTTGGCTATATGTGCGTAAACAGGCGACAACCAGGTCTTGGACTGTTGTGCCACTCCAAGACTGGTTTGATGGTTTGTTTTGGCCTAAACAATGCTGACAAAATTATTTGCAACACTTATAACAGCCATATCAACCAGGCGTAAAATGTTATTGCAATACAAAATCCTTTTCGCCCCCCCGCTCACGTCAAAAACAGATATATGTTAAGGAGATGGGGGTTTTTCCTTGCTTTCATACATAAAAGCCTTGCGATGGTAATGGCTGCATGTGTTTCATGCAGCCATTACCATCGCCAATGGCTAACATATGCTTACTACGGGTGGACCACCATAATGAAATACATAATTTATCGCTTAAGTAACTTCAGTACTGTATGCCTTATGTAATACTGACCTGTAAGTCACATATCCTCTCTGAGACTTTGTTAGGCGCATTTCGAAACCGTGGCCTTGGCGTCAATAACCTACTAACACAATATACGCCAACAGTTGATCGGTCGGTACTTTGTAAGTCGTTTAAAATTGCTTGAGTAACGTATCGACACCCCTCACTTACATCACCTATTGAAGATTGAACAGTTTTAGGGGTAGATGGTCGACTAACTCACTTGGCGACCGATTTGGACATCTGATTTGGACTATTCAAGTTAATTTACCAATATTCGCTGATATATATATACATATATACCGGCTGCCATCATCAAATCAGCTGTTTAGACCTCCTCCCCCTTGCTTTAGACTGAAAGCCAATTCAATTCGCCCTTCGCACGGACCTTCAATTTGCCCTTTGCACGGATTGAACTAATCAGGAAACGAAAACGGAACAATGATTTCTCATATGAAAATGGTTTCATCCGCATTGGGGTTTTTTTTTCAGGTTGGTCCACTTTGGAATACGCTTATGAGCCTCTCAGGCCACCAATGGGAAATATCTTACCTTCATACACTTACCCACCTGCCGTTGCTCCCAAATCATGCCAAAACGCATCATACGGGGACTAAACCATCGCCCTAAGCAACCTAAACCTGCTACACCTCTACAAGAAAACTTAGCCAAGCGACGTGAGCAAGATGTGAAAGATGCGGAGGTAGCGAACGCTGAATTTGTTAAGAAACTGAAACTAGACGAGGAACCCCAAGCAGAAGGTTCAGGCTCAGGTGATCACCCACCTGCTAATCCAACTCCGGAAGACGTCAACCTTGGAGACCTGGCGGCGGATGAAATTGACAAAGAAGGTGAAGAAGTTGAGGTGGAACAGTTTGAATATGAACAATTCATGCCGGTAGTCAATCTTGAGGAACCTGAAGACCCCGTTATGGCGATTTTGCGAAAGGAACAGCACCTTGCCCAACGATTAAAACACAAAAATAAATGGATGTGGCAGTACGCCATCATGTTGCCAACCTTCCTGCGCAATAGGCTACTTAAGTCGAATTGGGGGAATGAACAGAATTGGGATGCAGACTTACGGCCCCCGTGCACCTGCGCAAGCAGGACTGAGCGGAATGTCGACCTGGTGGATTTGCTATGTGAGTCCATGCATGACATTGCGACTGGACAAAGGACTGATGTCATATGCCTTTGGATTCACCTGTGTCTACTAGACGCTTTGGATATTATCCGTTAGAAAACATGTATTTCCCATCCGACATTGTCCGGAATGCCCCCTACCGACGCGCCGACGCCCCCGACGCGTCGGATCAAAAACTATAACTAAGTGACTACACAATACATTGGAATTAACTATTAGTAACTATTACATATCCAACCGTTTATAAACACACTGCATAACTCAAAAAGTTAGTTACACTCTTAGCAAATTGTCAGTCAAATATGTCTTCATTCACCCTAATGTGACTGTAAATCACATATGGGTGACAACACTTTATACGTATGTAACATGCAGGTCATCACTCATATTATCATATGTCACTTAAACTGACGTATATGTATGTATGATGTATTTATGTGTGAATCACAATCACCCACATCTGGGTCATCATCAAATATTTTTGGATTTCAATTCACCCATACGTGAATCATCATCACATACATGTGATTCACCATCCACAGCTGATCTTGATTTATACATCCAATGACATTCACCCATATATGATCATGTACATTCACCCACATGTGAATTAAATTTACCTATATGGGAATCTACCTTTCAAATTTCCATTTTCCATCAACTTGGTCTACACACACATACATAAGATTTTGGTTTGCATATTTGACCCAACCTATCCAAGGGATATCAAACACATGTGAATCATGTGAATGTCATATGTCATAAAAACTGACATAAATGTCAGTCAAATACCGGTTGAGGTAATGCCATTTACACATGGGTGAATGAAATTCACATCAGGGTGAAAGACATTCACCCAGTGTGAATGCAATTCACATACGTGTGAAAGCAATTCACATACGTGTGAATGGAATTCACATACGTGTGAATGAAATTCACACGTATGTGAATCTCAGTCAAGGACGTGTCACCCACATGTGAATTGAATCTGCATATATGTGAATGTACTTCCAACTTCCAAATATCCATGATCAAGCTGGTCTATAATAATCAAGCGGTTCATACATACATGAGATTTTGGTCAACATATTTGAGCCCACATCCGTGGGACATCAAACATGTATGTGAATGCCATTCACACATATGGAATTCACATCAGGGTGAAAGAAATTCACATACGTGTGAAAGAAATTCACATACGTGTGAAAGAAATTCACATACGTGTAAATGAAATTCACATACATGTGAAAGCAATTCACATACGTGTGAATGAAACTCACATACGTGTGAATGAAATTCACACGTATGTGAATCTCAGTCAAGGACGTGTCACCCACATGTGAATTGAATCTGCATATATGTGAATGTACTTCCAACTTCCAAATATCCATGATCAAGCTGGTCTATAATAATCAAGTGGACCATACATTCATGAGATCTTGGTCAACATATTTGAGCCCGCATCCAAGGGACATCAAACATGTATGTGGATGCCATTCACCCATATGTGAACTCCATTCACCCATATGTGAATGGAATTCACCCATATGTGAATGGAATTCACTCTTATCTCAATTTCATTCGACTGTATGTAAATTTCATTCACCCTTATGTGAATGTCATTCACGCGTGGGTAAATGAAATTCACCCAAGTGTGAATTGCATTCACTCTTATGTAAATTTCATTTCGTGAATGATTTCACATGCATAAGGGGCACTTTTTGGTGATTGTTGTCATAAGAACCAATTCTTCCATTGATGAAATCTTATAACAGATTTCAAGAGCTTCTTTAAATCCATATAGGTGCGCATTTCTACGCACAGGAATCATGTACCATTATCAAATCTTCAATAATTCATAATCTAATGTAGCTCAATTACAAGAGTATATTAGGGCCATTGCTATTTGCAGCCCACAAGAAAACCATGTAGGCGCTGCCAAAACAGCGCCTAGATGGGTGTTTCCCACGAAAAAGCGCCTTCATTTATGGTGTAGGCGCTGAAAACCATCTAAAATGACGCCTACATGATAAACAACCCATGTAGGCGTCATTTGGTTACGCCTAAATTCAAAATTCCAGAATGTAGGCGTAATTTTTGAGCACCTACATATCTAATTTGAAATGTAGGCGCTATTTTCGAGCGCCTACATTCAATTTTCAGCTCAAATAAGCGCCTACATACAGTCTTGCATATGTAGGCGCTCCAAATCCAACACCTACAACTCCAGACTGGTCTGACGGCTAATGAAGAAGAAGTTTCAAGTTAAAATGAGAGTATTGGAAGACGGAAAAAGCAGTTCGGAGTTAAAATGAGTGTATCAATGAGTGTTTTGGAAGACAGAAAAAGCAGTTAAGCGTATTGGAAGATGAATATGCTCTTTTCAACTCTGAAGTGAGCGTATCAGAAGACGTAAATAGCAGTTCAGAGTTGAAATAATTTACCTCTTTTTCCGCTTCTGATACACTCATTTTGACTCCAAACTGAGTTCAGAGTTGAAATAATTTACTACTTTTTCCGTCTTCTGATACACCCATTTTGACTCCGGCGTGACTTTTCCGTCTTCTGATACACTGATTTTGACTCCAAACTGCTTTATCCATCTTCCGATACACTCATTTTGAGTCCAAGCTGCTTTTTTCCGTCTTCCAATACTCTCATTTTGACTTGCAAATTGTTCTCCATTACCCTTCAGACCAGTCTGGAGCTGTAGTTGCCGGATTTGTAGCCCCTACATATGCAGGACTGCATGTAGGCGCTTATTTGAGCGCAAAAATTGAATGTATGCACTCACTTTTAAAAATGTAGGCATAAATTTTGAGCGCCTACATTGGATTTCCCATGTAGGCGCTCGAAAATAGCGCCTACATTTCAATTTTTGAATGTAGGCGTAACCAAATGACGCCTACACGTTAAAAAACCCATGTAGGCGTCATTTTGGATGGTTTCCAGCGCCTACATCATAAATGTAGGCGCTTCTTCGTGGGAAACACCCATGTAGGCGTAATTTGGCAAGCGCCTACATGGTTTTCTTGTGGGCTGCAAATAGCAACGGCCTACATTAGTATATTCAATATGAAAGAGAACGGAACATATTTAATCATTCATCATCGGAGATTTCTTCTCTGGGACATTGAGGACCTGTGACTGAATTACATTCCTTGCGCCATTTTTTGTAAACCTGAATATTATCCACAAAGATTCCTTCCCATCCCTTTGCTTTAGATGATCTCAATTTCGTCCAGTCAGGATGTATATACAGAATTGGGAGGTCGGGAGACAAGTAGTCGAGTTCCAGTGAAATGCAATGAGTTTTTTTGATAACTGCAAGTATGATGGGGTCAAGGTGGGTATCCGGATCTGGAGCTTCCAAAAATGGTGGAGTAGTAAGGCATGCGGTGACTGCTCCGGTGTATGATATCACCGGTCGGTTATAAGTGTTGGCTATAACACAACATCCCCCTGGCATCGGATACCACAACTCGTACGGCGCATGTTCCTTGTCAGGGTGTTCGAGAATTGAGAGCATTTTTGTGATCGAGGTTTGGGATTGGCTGAGTTTCGGTAAGTTTTTCTTGTACCAATTGTAGTTTGCGTGGACATGGGCTGCCATCTCCGCTCGCACTTTCCACGCATCCTCCTCATCACGACCTAGTGATACTGCCACGGATCCAAAAGCACATAGACCGTCCCCCTTTACATTGGTGGCCTCCTTGACAAACGGATAGATAACCTTTGGAAGAGTCGCAAGACAATCCCATTTCTGTTGGGCATCGTCAGTATCAGAAGTAAGTAAATTGATATCAAATGACTTACTATCAAAGCTTGATCTACAGGCGAGGCATTTAAGAGCTTTTTTTGCTTATCCTTTTGCTTCTTTTTCTGCTGGGTTCTGGCTGCAGAGCAAATGTTTTCCAGCGAATACTGATAAATCTGTAAGCCACCACCTATGCACATTCAATCAAATAATTCACTTACGTCTTCTGATGGTTTTTGTCTCTTGGGGTTGGGCTGTTTATATATATTAAGAAAAAGTTAGTAAGCTCTCGATAGCTGCTAGAGAAGACTAAGTACTTACTTGGTCATGAGTCTGAGAAGTCACACGTTTGGATTTGCGAGTACTACGACTTAATTCCTTGATCTTCTCAGTGCGGGTGACTTCAGAGACTTTATGGGCGCGAGTGGTTCTTGGTGACTGAGTCTCACTCTGTGAAGTGAGCGGAGAGTCCGCGCGAGAAAGAGACTGTTCCTCGGTTTCATGATTGATCTCTTCAATCGTATCTCTTGTCGGGATACTTTCTTTGACCGGTTGATTCGTATTCGCTGTGTGTACCTTATCGATATTTGAGGAGGATCCTTGCATAGGTGTTGCTTCCGCTTCTGGAGATGAAGCCTTAGGATCTTGTCCTTCTGCTTCCTACCCACAGAACAGGGAAACGTTAGAATACGGATGGAAATCAAAAATATAACTACATACCCCTGACCTTATCTTTTGAATTAGGCGGTATTTGTGAAAGCGGATCGTCAGGTTTTTGTGAAGAGACTGCAATTTTGGCTCGGTTACCTTGTTCCTGTAATAAAAAAAGAATTACATGCAACTTAGCATCTCATTCACAATCGCTACACAGATATTGATTGAATAACCCACCTTTCTATTTCCTCTCGTTCCGGATGGCTTGGCAACACTTTCAGCTATTTCACAATCCCGCAAAAACCGATCCAGGAGCCTTTTTCTAGTTTCAGGCTCCAGCCTGCCCATCGCAGTGATCAGTTCCTCGAATTCATCAGGGGGGTTAGACTCGGTGAGATCGATATGAATCATATCGC